AAACCTAATAAAAATAACAAAAAAACAACAAAATTACTAAAACTAACATTAAAGTGAAAGCAGAAAATATAAAACAAAAACTAATTCAAAATTGTAACAAAAATAAAATATCTCAATGATACTAAAATAACACTGGCTACAATGAAGCGATGGGCTCTTATTTTGAAGGCGGGACTTCCTATACTAGGGATGCCATATTGCACACTGTAGTTTCTCCTAATTTAAAGTAAAACCAGTGCACCGTCTTAGTATATACAATCTTTAGGTGCGTCCCAATTTGCATACTATTCAGTGACACTTTGCTTTAAAAATAGAGAGTAGTGTGTACACACTGAAAATGAAAATGGGTGTGCCATGTTGGATGAAAAAATAACCTTATAAAGTTCATACTCTAGACAGTGGAGTACATAGTAAGTGCATAAAGTATAATGCCTCATTTGGGACACAACTTTTGATTGGACTCATTGATTCCTTTATCATTTCATGTTAGCACCAAAGTAAGGCATGAAAACACATCTTGCATACAATATTTGGTAAATTAAAAACTTTTGCAACCATCTTGGATTTATGTTCACAGAGCTCATTGCAATGCATTCTGGGATTGGTTTCCCTGTGAAGGATACATGAAAGCTGAGGTGCCATCTTAAGGTCGACATGAAACGGAGGATGTGAGAGTCTTTTCTTCCCTATTGTGGCGTATGTCTAAGTGAAACGGCCTCTCGAACAAGAACAAATGAAGGGCGGGGCTTGATTTTGTCGTAGGGAATTGATTGGATGGTTATGGTTTGCTATTGGTTGATCTCAAGTGAGTGACAGTTTGCCCCGGCCTCACGCAAGTGAACACTTCATCATAGACAAGAAGAGATGTCGCTGCAAGAGAGAGGGGAAGTTATGAGGGCACGGATAAATCATTTATAATAAATACTGCAATATTCCTTGAAAAAAAGAGACGTGATATCATGATGGCTTTAAAAGTGTCGTAACAAAGTGAACGTGTCTTGGTTGAACTCACTCCTGCACTCATCTGTTGTTTTTCTACTTTTTTTTGTCTTTCTTTTCCCCACGATGGAAGTATCAGTCCCTTGAACGTGTTCCCGTGTGAGTCAGTGACATCAGCGTGGAGTGGGCGTGGGCTGGAGGAGGACGCCCACCCGTGAACCCAGCGCCACCTGTCTCCCAGTCTGGAACAGCTTGAGCCTCCTGTCTGTGGGCCACCGTCCCCCAACGGGCCCCATGGAACCTCTCAAACACTCATTTTCACATGCTCAGCATGAATCTGACATAAATAAACCTGTTTAGCACTAAAGAAAATGAGGTTTAGGACTGTTTGTTATGCATAAATGAATATCCAAAGGATGAATACTTACCGCAGGCGATCCTCGTGGCGGGTTTGCACGTAGCGTGACCGGAACGAGACCTGTTCGATTTATTAATCCTATGATCTATTGATCGTCTCAGTAGGTTGGCGGCGGCGCCCGTGACAGCTTTGTGCTCCTCGGGCTGTGTGAAAACCATGTGGGACTCTAAAAGTGAGATGAAATCAATGAGAAGTACCTCCTTTGTTCTCCACTTCTGGTGACTAAGAGGTTTGAACAGTCAGAGATTAACTAACAATCATCACAACCACACAAACCATTGGCATGTTTTGACATATAATCAACTTAAAAGTCACTGTACTCAAAAGTAATACTCGCCGAGTACAAAAGTAATACTCGCCGTGACTAATGCACTGCATCTCTTCTGGCACAATTTCAGAAATATATTGATATTCTTTTTAGAGAACTATGCTGCGTCCCAATTCGCATAATATCCATATCAAGTATTATTCAAAATTAGAATTGGTAGTTGCCTCTCAAATGACGCAATATTCATTGTAAAAAAAAAAGTAGCTGCCTTAAAAAAGTAAAATCAAGTTGTATGTTTAAGTCATTTCACCTTAAATGGACGAGGGCTCGATTAGAACTACAAGCACGAATAAAAAGTGTTAAAAACTACAAACATGGCAGATGTGTGAGTCCGACGGTTGAGTAGAGAGCTTTAGATGAAGGGGTTTGAGTGATTAATTATCAGTATCTAACCTCACGAAAAGATATTTATCCAATGTTATCTACATTATATTTCATCTGCAGCAGCATTGTGAACTTTTGTAAAGATTCGTTGAGCCATTAACTTTTAAATGCATCAGTTAACACTTTACAATAAGCGTCATTATTTAACATTAGTTAATCTATTAACTAACATAACAACGAGCAATACGTGTTACAGTATTTATTAATCTTTGTTAATGTTAGTTAAGAAAAATACAGCTGTTCATTGTTTGTTCATGTTACTTCACAATGCATTAACTAATGTTAACAAATACAACCTTTGATTTGAATGACGTATTAGTAAATGTTGAAATTAATATTAACTAAGATTAATAAATGCTGAAGAACTATTGAACCTTATGTAAAGTGTTACCATTATTAACAAATGTGATTTTTTACAAACATCTCAAAATAAAAGTCTTGAAATAAAATACTAGGTAACACTTTAGTTTAGGGTTCAATTCTTAACATGAACTAGTTGCTTATTAGCATGCATATTACTAGGATGTTGGCTGTTTATTAGTACTAATAAAGCACATATTAATGCCTTATTCTGCATGACCATATTCTACATCCCTTAATCCACCCAACACCTAAACTTAACAGCCTTACTAACTATTAATAAGCAGTTAGGTGTTTATTGAGGCAAAAGTTGTTGTTAGTTAGTTAATAGTGAGAACTGGACCCTAATCTAAAGTGTGACCAAATACTACAATACAATACAAAACAATAATAAATAAAAATATGATAAAAATACATGGAATCTGATTCTTGCAGACATCTATATGTGGTTTGAGCTCACATTAAACAGATTTTTTCAGTCTTTTTTCTTGTCATTTTGAGGCTTAATGTAAAGGCTTAAGGTAATTCACAAAGAGCGGGAGTGGCATTCAATATGTTTTGAATCGTAAAATCAAATATGATCTTAAGGACTGACACGATTTCAAACATAATTGTCAAATATACTACTCATTTCCTTCTGTGTGAAGCTTTTTGTAATTGGAAAACTTAGTGGACCTTTAAAGGAATATACATGGTACAATAGAAGTTAAACTTAACGGACAAATTTACAATAACGTTTACCCTTACAATGGACGTCTATGTGTAAGACACTGCACCAGGATAAACATTAAAATACACACAGATTCAGAAAAATGCCACAAAATATAAAACAAAAACAATCTGATTGTCTTACAAATGTCTACATCTGCTTTGAAATGACGTTATACAGATTTGTAGAAACATGTTTGAGTCTGATTGGTCATATCAGATGCCAACTAGGTTTTTTTTGTCATTTAGGAGATAACATGATTCTAATGTAATACAATTAGAGCAGTAGTGGCATTCATTACATTTTGAATGGTGAATGAGTAAATCATTTCTGACACATCTTATAACAGCACCGATGTGAGATGTCATGATGGTTATGAACATAAGCAAAATTTGGGTTTTTTGCTCTCGTCTTATCCACAATAACAGCCACTCTCATCGTCACTATGGCAACTGGTGTAGATACAGATATTGACTCCACTGTCTGAAGCAACAGATGCCGTTTCTGTTATTACCTGCAAAATTACAGTCAGACCTACACATCATATATGATTGGTTGCTTGCATTGTGAACGTAAGCCTTTGAAACCAGTCAGTTAAAGGAACAGTACCGCCGTGTTGCTTTCAACTTCGAATGTCTGACTTTCCTTCTTGGAAAAAAATGCACTGAAACAACGCTTAAAGTCAAATTAAATGAATTTTGAATGAATGCAGCAAAAGTGATTTGTTTTTTTCCATTAACTGTAATAAAAACTCCTCTAAAATATTCAAAATGATCAACACATTCTTATGACAACACCCCCTGAAGGGAAATATCCGAATCTTAGCAATGTTGCCAAGTCGGTGCTGTTCTTTTAACGTTTTATTAATCAAAGAATCCTGAAAAAAGTATCACAGTTCCAAAAAATATTAAGCAGCACAACTGTTTCCAACATTATCAATATCAAATCATCATATTAGACTGATTTCTGAAGGATCATGTGACCCTGAAGACTGGAGTGATGATGCTGAAAATTCAGCTTTGATCACAGGAATCAATTTCATTTTAAAGCATATTAAAATAGAAATGTTCACAATATTACTTTCTGTATTTTTGATCATATAAATGTTTCCAAACTTTTGATCGGTTTTACAGACACAAATCAAAACAGTGCTTGCATCAGTAACATCCAGAACACGAGTTCCACCATTAAAAGGTGATTTAGACACTTTATAGATCGAAAAACACACATTTTTGATTGTACGATGGGGCTCGGGAACGTCTAGACATCCATTATAAGTGCATTACAGCATAAACACAATCATTGTTTTCTTTTCTAAACTGAGGGATGAGTCTAAATTACTTTCAGCCCTACAGACGTCATGCCACAGATGCTGTCAATAGAGACTCTGGAAGAGGTTCAGGACAGCATTCAGGACACATCACCCTCTGCTGGCAAAACACAACACCACAGGCCTCATGAGAACGCACGGTGTTAGCGTTCAAAAGATGCCGGTGGTTTGGCACGTCGAGGCTCACCATAATGAATTCAAACAGGAAGAACTCCTCAGAGAGCCAAATAAACTTCTGCCGCACAGTGACAGACGATAATATATGCGGGATGGAGGAGTGTGACATGAAATGAAATCCTGACTCATGGATCATGAGAGACGTCAGCTGGAAGCTTTATTCGTCTTTCTTAACAGCAGCTGCACTCGCTCGTCACGTCTCCAGTCATGTGACTGATTACAAAAAGGACTTTGTTTGACATCCGAGGCAACAACAGCGAACACGCTTGGCGCTGAAACGCAAGCAGTTTCTCTCAGAATAACAGTTCTGGAGAACAGTTTCGTGTGGAATACTTTCCAGCTGTGCTTTGTAGAATTCAGTGAACTAACCCTGAAATACAGTCTTGTTTTCGCTCAATCTCCCTCCGAATCCGAAACCAGTGACGGGAACTGAACGCCTCCCTCCGCCAGAAGCGAGTAAAGACCACGCAGAGCCACGGCACTGGGTCGCCTGACACCGGAATGAGCGTCCCAGAAAGACACAAGGTTATCGGACATCGCCTAAAGACAGGAAAAACACGTGCTTAATACAATACAAGAAGCTTTACAGTGATAAACAATCAATTCAGCCTCTAAAAAGACAATATTATTCAGCAGAAATCAGTTCAACGTTGATTCAGTTCAATAACCGTGTAAAGTTCATCAATTATTATGAAATGAGTTCAATTCAGATATAAAGCAGCTCTACAGAAAACAATAGTATCGATATTTAACAACATGATGCCTAATAAGCCAACTTTTTTTTGGGCCAAATGAAGAAAAAAGGTATATTTTGAATATAAGAAGGACGAGATATGAAAATGATTTGAAACCTTCTGAAGACGAACGGCCTGCTGAAGTTGTTCTACTCTGAGCCTTTGGCTTTCCAGCTCTCTGAGTTCAGTCTCACTGGTGTAGGACAGGATGGGCGGCAGACAGGAACGATCTGGGTCACCCCATTCACCTCTCCTCCGGATGGGACACAAAGCTCCAGAGCTACTCTTATCCCACCTCTCCCAGTCTGAGAAACACAAGGCAGTTTTGCACTGGATTTAGATCTACGTCCAGGTTATCAACCCATATAATCCAGATCAAGCTGTGTGAACGGGATAGTGAACTGAATTCACAACTGAACTGCAAAATCTGTGATAATATCATTTCTTAGTAACATTCTAATGATACCAAATGCAATTGGTATAAGGCAAAACATTGAAACAGTACATGAATTGCTTTCCCAAGAAGCAAGAACATGGGAACTCTGGTACACGGAGGAAGTCGGGGGATTTCTATGAGGTTGTGGTGGATAAAGTTTCAAAATGATGAACCATGTGTGAGGCTTGTTGTTGTGTTACCCTTTAAATCCAGAGGGAGCACTTCAAACTTCATGAGAAAAATATGACAGATAACAACCTTGAGAAAGGGGATGGGACTTCTTGGATAATTGGATGGTGTGTCACTTGTAGAAATCGAACATGTGAAACTGAGCACAGAAACTGTTTAATGGTGGGTGAACAGATAAAAGACTACTGACACCACATTGGACCCAAAATAGACTGAAGAAAGTTTTTGATCACTGCAAATACCATGTGAACACTGTTGTGTTCATGAGAAGAAATGTACATTGTTGACTTGCGTAATGACGTAGTGTGTGAGAAAAGAAGTGAAAAGAGTAATGAAGATGGATGAAGTTTGCTAGTCCTGTCTCGTGTGCTTCTTTGCATATAAAGTAGACCGGGGCTAGTTGTCACAAAAACTACAATTACACAAATGTGTGGCTTTTCTAGCACTGGTTTTGTATGTTGGTTTTAAACGCCAGAATGTTCTTAAATTAAAATATGTGTTTATACTTAAGTAAAATTACAATATAACCATATTTTCTCATATCTGTCTGTTTAATTGTTTACAAAAAAACAATAAAAACACACTGACATATTCAAGCAAGAGTCAACTTTACATTAAAGGCAGATTTGAACTGTCTTCTTTGATTTGAAGAATTTTGGGTCAAGTTTTTCCATGTGTCAAATAAAATGATAATTAAATAAATAATATTATAATAAAAACATTTAAAAATAGTTTAATATAATAATTCATTATAATTTAATATCAATATTATCATTTATATGAATAAGAAAATACAAATAAATACATTTAGTTCAAATATTCTAATAAATATTTAAATTCTAACAAATTTAAATAAAATTGTATTAGAATTTTTTTATTTATTGTAGTTTCTGTTGGTAAAAACAATGGTTTCATATTTTCATGTTACCTTTTGCTGTTTCATGAATTGTTTTGTACTTCATAATTTTTCAACACTATTTTGGCCATTAAATAGCCTACATTTGTGACAATTTACCTTATGATGCACCATTGGGGCATGTTGTCACAAAAGGTCAGTGTGCGTTAAATGAACTGTATCTTTTCCCTGAGCCGTAAAATGAAATGTTTTACATTTATTTTGTAAATTGACATTATTAATTAAGCAGGTGCTTTTATTCAAAGTGTCTTACAAATGAGAAACAACACAAGAAACAAACTCATGAACCCTGCTCATGAACCCTGACCTGAAAATGACGTCAAAGCGCTTGGGCAACTGGAGAGAGATTGTGAAGTACCTTTCTTCCGCTGATCAGCACATGTAAGAAGATCTGCCGTCATTCTCTCCAAACCCTCCAGCATCCGCAAGGACTCATATTCTCTCTCATGCGACGTCCCTGTGACACACACACACACACAAACACATTTCTCTTGATCTCTATCTACTCCAAATGAGCTGCAGCCTGTGAAACGTCCTGTGACTCAGAGGAATAAAGACTAGATGACAGTGTTTTCCTTGGACGGATTATTATTGTCCAGATGCTCATTTCTCAGCCCCCTTCTTCCTCCCACACACTTCTGCCTTCCTGCAGCCCTCCATATTTTCTGCCCTACCTGAGTCTGAGTGTGTGAAGCAGTGCGTCAGGTCAAGACAACGCTGTGAAAGCACGTCCAGCTCTGCTGTGATCTCAGCAGGACATCTGGAAGGCCATACGGATGGGAACTGATACAGCAGCAGGTCAAGAACATACAACAACGACATAAGATTTGACCAAAACAAAAGAAAGGGAGAGTAAAAGATGACAGGATTGTACGTTTATCCCTCAAAGCTTCATTTTTTAATGGTTGAATTAAATATGCCATCTATCCTGACGAGGCCTTTTGAACAAATAGCAAGTAGAAAAGAGTGGTGGAGGGATGACGTATTTTTCTAGGCCAAAACCCGGAAACAAGTTAGGATTTTAGCAATTCCGGTTCCATTGTCCCGAAGTCAATGGGATTTTCGAATGTATTTTTGGTTAAATGCTTGAAAATAAGGTCTGTGGTGTGTTCAAGATATTTTCACGGGTTAGCCTCCTTAAAGCTTTTTTACTTGTCTTGTAAAAGGCGGTTGCTAACAAGTGTCTAAATGGGACTACAGAGGTTGTCGGAGACATTAAAGGTAGGGTAGGCAATTTTCGGAGCGGCTAGCAATAGCGAGCTAGCTTTAAAAGCATACCTTCAGAGCGTCTACAAAGACACACCTCCTTCAAAACACATGAACACCTACAACAGGAAGCAAACAAAAGCGTCACAAGAGACGCCGTTAAACTACCTCATGTCTCTAAGCACATTACATTAAAATAATAATGAACTTAAACAACTTACAGAGCTCTTACTTGTAGCACCTGACTGCTGCAGATTCATTTCGTTTACATTGAAATGCATAATTCGAGTCACACGAACAGCTCAGAGTACAATGTCACGCAACATAAGCTCATTATTTTGGTTGGATGAACATTTTATGGTCCTACGCCTTCCACAGATGATATACTGTATATACATACATCGTTTACTTTCACGGCCTCGTTGTGTTTATAATTGCGCTCTTGCAAACTATTATGACTCGAACTTTCATGCAACTGTGGTGTAGTTCGTTTATAGCGTTTAGCTTTTGACTTCTACCGACTGTATTTACGCTTCAAAATTCATAAAGTTTTGTTGATCACAGAGCTTATTTTCTGCAATAATCCAAAAGCCAATGGAAAAATCCTATTGTTTTTTTTTGAGGGAACCAGGGTGGCCTACAAAAACACGTCATGCCTGCACCACTCTATAGTGTGCAGTTTAGTCCTAGATCAGGATTAAAACCCACCAACAGGAGAAACGATGATTGCATGGATGCATTGATAATGTCTGATCATATGCAACAGGTCAGAAGTGACAGGATTGAACTGAAGGATACAGTTGCCCGCAGTCTCTCCGTAAACTGGGTTCTCTCTGGTACTGGCTTTGATTGCTGGGTTAACACTTTCTTCCACAATCTGAAAGAACAGTTACACTTAAAAAAAAAAAGAAGTTTTTTTTCCACTCACAATTATAATTGTGATTTAATATTTTGCATATATTCATTTAATATCATTTGATTTAAAGAAATATTCTGGGTTGACTTGAGTAAATCTATTGTAAGGAAAAATCTTGGTTAAAGTAATGCATGTGCAATGGAAGTCAAAGGAGCAAGGTGTTTACATGAAGCACTTCTTAAAAATGTGTTACTTGAGTTATTATGATGCTTTCTAAATTACCATTTTGCTCTATAACTAATGTTATATGCAGTTATTAGTCACTCACTGATGATATTTAGACGTTTCTCTGTGTAAAAGGTTCAGTTCTCTGTGTGAAATTTACAAGATTTACCTGCTTTAAATCTTCATATTATATGATGTTTCACAGACAAGGCTAGCAAGCGATTTTTCTTACACTAGTCTCATGTTAACATGTCTAATGCTTTAATTTCGCAACATTATTTTAAAGTTTACTGCGTTGCTCTGTTTACTTCCATTGTACTGTGGCATGGTTTTAAAAAATGAGTCATTCTAATCAATATCAATTATGCCACAAATACTGCTGATAGTGCTTAGCTTGTAATGAACCCAAAATATTCCATTTATTTAAAAGGCAATATTAGACTGACCGGATCTGTTTTGTTCTTTGTGCTCGCCAGACTGGTAACAAAGGAGACGATACCCTACAGCAACAAAGACAAGCAATTAAAGCTACATTGTAATATGTAATATATATTATACAATAGCCTACATATACCATTCAAACTTTCGGGGTATGTAGGATTTTAAAGTTTTTGAAAGAAGTCGCTTCACCATTTATTTGATGAATAATACAGTATAAACAGTAATATTGTGAAATATTACTAAAATTTATATCATATGTTTTCTATTCGAATATATAGTAAAATGTCATTTATTCCTGTGATCAAAGCCGGATTTTCAGCATCATTTCTCCAGTCTTCAGAGTCACATGATCCTTCAGAAATCATTCTAATATGATGATTTGATGCTCAATAAACATTTCTGATTATTATCAATGTTGAAAACAGTTGTGCTGCTTTATATTTTAGTGGAAACTGATACAATTCAGGATTCTTTGATGAATAGAACGTTTTTAAAATAGAAATCTTTTGTAACATTATAACTGTCTTTTCTGTCACTTTTGGTCAATTTAATGTGTCATTTGTGAATAAAAGTAATAATTTCTTAATACTGACCCCAAACTTTTGAAAGGTAGTGTACGTATTCGATTAAAGATATATTTCATATTTGGCCGCAACAAAGATGAATATCTGATCATATACATACCATTGTGCATTCTGCATATTTCCTGTTGTGAACTTCCCATCTTTACCAGACACTGATGGGGAAGACTCTTCAGCATTTGTGGCTTTGACACACATCTTCTGCTGGGATGCTGTGGAAGAGATCTTCACTGGGGCGCTCTTCGGGACTGATGGCCTTCCTTTGAACACTGGATGAGCATTCGGTCCCTTCCGGAGCAGAACGGCCCCGTGGGTCATGTTCCCTCCGGCTGCTCCTCTGTGATGATTGGGTTTTTTGCACGTCTCTGGAGGGGGGAAAGATTTCACTGGTTTCCTTTTATCTTCTTCTTTAACAGTAACATTACTGAGAGGTTTATGTTTGCCCTCATTGGGGTGTTTTCTTTGGTTGCTGTCAGAGTGAAGTTCTTTATGAGCCTCAGATGTGCTGCGGATTTTCAGTGCTTTTTTTAAAACATGCTCCAACAATTCAATTTCTGTTTTTTCTGCAGCTGGAATATCTGTTTTAGAAAGCAGAGACAAAGATATATTGTGTAATATATAACATGGGATTATATGACAAAAAAAATACAAATAAATCAATGATTTTCCTCTGACCATCTTTAGTACCGATGGCTGTGGCAGTTTCCAGTTCACTGGCTTCTGTCACGCGTGTTCTCCTGCACAAATATGACATGACAAAATTGAACTTTTTACACCCTCTATTTCAAGACAGGTGGGGTACATTGGTAGCCTGGGAAAACCCAGACAACTTCCGGCAAATTTAGATTTGCTCTGAAAGTTAGTCTGGCAAAGAGCTCATTCAAGCCCATTTCCAATCCGTCGAAATCAAGGCACCAATCAGAAACGTTGGGGCGGGCTTTACACGATGATGACAGCGCTGGGATTTTGAAGCAGATTTTGTAGCCTACTTTACAAAGATGGACGCCGCCGTCGAACATCACTCGTTCGAATCAGCTATCGCGTCTGTTTTAAGCGATTTGAACATTTCCTTTTTGTTAAAAACCGAGTAAAGAACAACACTCGGAGATGTTTCTCCGCCGCTCTGCATACGTCATCTCCTTCATCGCTCTGATTGGTTTTAGGTCTATCCGCGACGTCCGTTGGTGACGTCCCTCTGGAAATGATTTGTCTATGACGCTTTGCCAGACCATAACTCAGTTACAACTGAGAATGGTCTGGTTTTAACCAGCCTAGTACATTGGGGCTAAAGGCGGACCGGGGTAAAAGTCTATCATCTAAACCACTAGATGGCACAAAAACCTGCTGAAGCACTTTCCAAAACATCTGCTTTTCAAGATGGACGTGGAAATTTGTCTGATCCTTGACGTGAACAACGCAGAAGCGCAAAGTTGATTCTGCGCTAATTTGATCTAATATTTGATGTTTTTTTAAATTGTTGTAGATTTAAGAAGCAAATGAGAATCTCTAAAATTACTAAATATATTTTTGTAGGTCTTGTTAATGATTTTCAGGTTTGTTCAAGCTAATTAAAGCAACAGTTTTTCAGTAACGGAAGAATATGTAAAAGTATTGTATTTGGGGTAAAAGGCACAATAATTAACATGATAATAAAGAGTTGGCTGACTTTTCTATTTGTTGACATGACATGGTTAGATTCACATGGTAAAAATCATAGATTAATTTGGGTGTCAAACCAAACCATCATATTTCAAAATATGATATTAATCATATCATATAATAAAATATCATGTGTTGTTACTAATGTAAATCTATATTTAATTATTATGGGATCTCCTTCAATGCTTTCGGAATCTTTACTTTTGAAAATAATTTTGTAATTTTTATATTAACAATAACATATTTTAATGAAAAAGTTAATTTACTGAACACAAATTAATTATTTTATTCTTAACTTAACTCTTATTATATCAAGATAAACAGAAAATAGTACAAACTTTGCTATAGTGTTTGAACATGTATTAACTTAAGACACTATTAAAAACATTATATTATGTTAAATAAAGTATTTGTATCAATACTGTGTGCCTTTTGGGGTAAAAGGCCCCCCTCGCCACCTCATACATTTATACGATTTTATACGAACAAAAAAAAACACTTTTATGATTTATTTTCAACAAAATCTGTTGCTCCATAAATGTCCAAACCAAAATTTTTCTGCAATCATACACTATGGGAGAAGTGAGGTGTGCCTTTAGCCCCTTGGTTCCCTATGCCATAACAACAAGAAACCCCACTTAAAGGGACAGTTCACCCCAAAAAATTTATTCTGTCATCATTTACTCACCATCAAGTTCAGGGGCGGACTGGCCATCTGTGTGATCTGGAGTATCACAGAACGGCCGGTACTCCAGGACGGCCGGCGGGCCGGCCCACCACCCGCCACACACGCAGTCATCACCTGTTTTTTCCCCCCACTAATCTGTTTCACACTCCAGTACTGTAGGTGGCAGCAATGCACCTTTAAGTTGGATGCCAGCGCGGAGCATTATCAGCTCGGCCCAAAAAAACTGCGATCGCGGCCGAAGCAGCTGTGCGGACTGATCTCGATCACGCGAACATTATTACACAGAGTTGCGCGATCCACTGAGAAGCATTTCAATTCAGTGCAGAATTCTCTATCTCTATTATAAACCCACAGATGGCTGTGATTTAAGCTAGTTAAAAGCCAGATTAAACAGCGCTGATATTCTCAACATCTTGACGCAAAAAAAAACAGGTGAAACATTGTTCCAAGAACAAACCAGTTAGAAGACATTTCACTCCACAACTTATGAATTAACTGTAACTTAGTAAAACAAACGTTTTGGCAGAAATGTGCCTGTATTCATATTAAAAATGCTGTTATATTAATAGTCATGCAGGCCAATAAATGTAGGCTATTAAATGTAATGCAGTAATGTTTTTGTTTAGAAGTTATGGCAGTTTATTTATTTATTTTGCATTAAATATTTATACTAAATGTTTATGCTACAATAGGTTTTTAGAGAATAATATATATATATATATATATTACAAATTTTTCAGGAATTGTTGAACCAGAATATCAAGATATTTTATTATTTCGCATATGATGGTGAAAAGTAAAAAAGTTAAAGTTAAAAGTAAAGGTAAAGGTAAGGTAAAAAAAACACCACCATGTTATATGTATAATAAATATTTTTGAGTATAGCCCTTCTAGATTATTTTATCCCTTTAGCCCTCGCACACAAAAAGGTTGGAGACCCCTGGTATATAGTAACTATATGTTTTATAATTACAAGTTTGTGTAATTAGGGTTTCTGTAGCCAGTGACATTTCATTATTTGTATTTTATTTTCAATGCAGATGTAATGGCATTGTACATTTTGTTGTTTTTTATTTGAAGACTGAGGCTTCATTAATAAACAAAACCCTAATTGTCATCATTGTTTTTGAGATATTACTTGCTGTGAATACCTTGTCTGATATAGGTTACAGTATTGTGGCATAGTATCAGGACATCCTAGTGGCTAGGGCCGAATGGCTGGATGATGGGCCTATTTGGGAGAAAGTCCAGGGCTGTTTTTTAGCCCCAGTCCGTCCCTGATCAAGTTGTTCCAAATCTGTATGAATTTATTTCTTCTGCTGTACACATAGTATGTAACAAAATAATATGCAAGTCAATGGGGTCCATCAACTATTTGGTTACAATGTACATTATTCAAAATATCTTCTTTTTGTGTTCAACAGAAGAAATTCATACAGGTTTGGAACAACATGAAGATAAGTAAATGATGACAGAATTTTCATTTTTTGGATGAACTATCCCTTTGAATACCTTACATTGAGCGCAATATCTCTTTGCACTGCCTGATGTTTTCAGTGAGTCTTGATTCTTCAGCTTTGCACATCTTGACAGCTTCTTCAACAGCATGAAGAGACATGCTCAATATCTGAGAAAATACACAAGAACTGTAAGCCTAGAGCAACTGTACTGTGGATAGGAGACAATATAGGTGTGACAATGTTTTTAAACAAAAAGATTTTAGATTAAAATGAATATGTATGCAATCATGCAAGTTATAGATGCTACAGTTATAACTACATTTAACGTTACACATGCACAAATATTACAGATGACACTAAGTTCATTAAAACATTAAGTTCAGGCATCAAACAGCCAGTTGGAATGCCCATTGCGTACTAAAGAGAGCGTATGTAAGTACATTCAATCAGTAAACCTATACATTTGGTCAATAGATATGTGAATATTCAAGACTCTTATCTTCATGATTCAAGTTAGTTACCCGCCCGGAAGCGCACGTTGGTGTCTAAAAACACAGCTTTCACTTTCCTTTACCCATCCTTTATGTAACGTTACATTCAGCTCGTCGAGGGATTTAAATGAATCGTATGTAACTCAGACTGTCAAAATAATGTCAGACAAACAAAGAAAATTCTGCGTCAAACTTCCGAGCTCAGCGCGACTTCACAAACGCCCGCTCGTCTCAAATATCGCGAGACTGACACGAAGCGTCGTTGCTGTGGAAACAAGTGCGCGCTGAGCAACAGTTTGTTGAGGAGAAACTCGTTTAGTTTTTCAACATGGACAATCACAGAGAGTTTGGGAGAGCTGTTCCAGTGCAGATCACTGTTCTCTCTGGAAATAATTTGGTAAGTCACTAAAATCATGTTACAATCACTTAAATAAAAGCCTTAACATGATTGTGACGAGAGGCCGTGACACCATAACCGGGGTTAGTTGTCACACGAGGAACGGTGTCATGTCTCACTTACTGTAGGGTCTTAAAGTCTTGTTCTCTCTTGCTATATGGTTTAAACACCTAGTTCAAACTGTTTTACATTAGAGAAGAAACTGACTTTCAAATAAACCTAAGTTACCCTGAGAAATATTAACTGCAGTAAATAGTGTGAACTAGCCCCGGTCTCCCCTACCACTGTTGCAACAATAAAACGGTGGAAATGAAATATAATGATAAAACAAACATAGCACTAGCCAGTAGCCACCACTGACTTGGAAAGAAAATCGAATAAATAAAATAAACAAAAATACAGAGAGATTCTGAGAGCCTCTTGCACTGTTTTAATGAGATCCCATATTGATCTAACGTTATAATGATTTTACAGTAGTAGTGTGGTAAGTTAATGGCACTACTGTGATACATTATTTGTAAGAAGTTGTTATAAGATTTACTGTAATAAGCATGTTCATTTGTGATTATTTCAGAGAGGCAGTAGGACTGATTTGTGTCTCAGTTTTGTTCGGGTGGAGTTCAATGGATCTGTGCTGGGAGACTCACAAAAACTGGACATTGTTGTAGACAAAGATGTGGTTTACAACTTCACCTGTAGTTTTGAATGTTCAGAAGTAGCTCATACACTGGATGATGTGGCACATAAACCTGTCATACGTGAGTATTGAACATTCACAACCATTTGTTTGTATTTTTGCTGGTTTAGCTTGTGTTTATGTTTCTATTATGTTTCTCGAAGCCCCACCACACTGCAAAAAATATATTTTCCTACTCAATATTTTTGGCTTGTTTTCCAATAAATATCTAGGTATTCTTGAATCAAGATACGTTTACTTGAGAAGCAAAGTTACTCACGATATTAAAATGTAAGCAGAAATGTATGTGTGCCCTCAGTAACGGTGCTCGAGACCTTACCAAAAGAGAAAAAACAGAAAGAGGAGAAAACCACCGTACTAGGACAAGCCGTTGTGGACCTTCTGCCACTGCTACGAGGTTAAACCATTTCATTTTATTCGAACTTGACACATTTCATGCCACTTTTAACGGATTCTCATATTCTTGAGATTTGAGGCGGTGCTGTTTTTATTCTAGGTCAGTGTAGCTTCTCATCCACTGTGCTTCTTCATGATGTTGCTGTGCGTGAGGACGGCGTAAGAGTAAGAAAGTCCTTACACCTCTAATTTAGTATGTTTTTAAATACATGTTTTATATGTTGTGTGTGTTTGCATGTACAGTCCACACTAGATGTGACAGTGAGCGTCCCGGAGCCGTTGCTCTCTGATGGCCAGCGCTCTGACTCTAATGTGCTGATGGTCACCGTCGAGACGATGTATTCGGTTCCTGAGGTCTGGAATCCTGCCTCCACTCCTCCCTCCAGCTACGTAGCTGCCCTGCAGATTCCCGACTCAGCCATGGTGAGAAACAAGTGTTTGTGTTTATTTGGCATTTCAAGTGATTCACCGGTAGTGGATTCTCCAAATCATCCAAGACACTCTGGTTTTCCTTACTTAGGGGTCACACTTGTGAACCTGTGGTCAAAACATACATACATACAAGGGCTTAGATTAAGCCAGGATTAGACCTTAGTTCAATTAGGACATTTAAGTAGCTTTTATAAATGTGCCTTAGAAAAAAAACATTACTGGTGTGCATCTTGAGGCAAAACAATGGCATATTTTAAGAGATATCAGTGCAAGATGCTTTCAGTTAAAACAGCTCAAACATGCATTTTAGTCTGAGACTAGACTTAAGCCTTGTCTGTGAAACCGAAAAAACAGAAGACAAGAACCGTAGTTATTAGCATAGTTTTTTTTAATGAATTGAATGTACTATATTTTGTTTCACTAATATTTTTTCTTTCTTTTCTTTTTTTTTTTGAAGGAGTTTCATGGTACTAGACAATATTCACCTCTAAATTATGCACCATTTATTTTTAAATATAAAATAATTCAAATGTTAGATAAAATATTTAATATTATTTTCAATTAATACAGTGTTTAAGTTCTGTTTACGTAGCAAGTGGCACATACGCCACCAAGTTTTGTACCATTTCGGTGAAGTAAAACATTAAAAAAATTCAAAATGTGAAATTTTCTCGCCCTAAAATGACAGAAGACCACCAGAGGGTTAAATAGATGTAAGATGTTTTTATGTCCAAAGAAATAATTCACCTACAAATAAAAAGTCTGACATTATCAATTGTTTTTCAGAAAGAGCAAGTGTTGTTGTTTTCCAATGGCATCTTAAAAATGGGTGGTGAGCAGGAGCCAGTGCCAAGACCCAAAAAATGGCCCTTGGGGCCTCTTGTCACACCAGGAGCCGAGGTCATTCAGGGCCTTTATATTGACTCAGAACCCACAGACACGGATCACGGAGACCTTACCGACATAGAGGTGATCTGAGCCATTAATGGACAGTGATGGATGTGAAAGGAATATGGAGCATGTCACCACATTGATTTGTGTGTGGGTTGTAGGACAAGGATTTCAGAGAGAACGCGGAGTGTAACGAGAATAGGGTGAGCTGGGATACGGCACGTCGTTGCTTTATTGATGCAGGAGGCGTGGCCTGGTGAGTAAACACCTCTTTTAATCAATACACTCAAATTTATTTTCTCATTATTTCTCACGTTCTCCAATTAATGCTTGCACTTTTTTTTATAGTCTGTCCCGCAGGATTGCAGAATGCAGACTGTGGCCTGTTGAGATCATGAAAGCCAATCAGACGGTACCAACCAAAGGTGGTAGAACAGCCAGAGACAAGCAGGTGCGAAACATCCTAAACTTTAACATCTCAAGATGGCCCTCAAAACCCAAAACAAGACAGCAATAACTTATTGATAAAAACACAATACAATTTTGCCTGTGTGTGCTGTAGGGGGAGGAAGAGGCACAGATCTCGTTTCATGGAGTGGTTTACATGGATCTGGTGCCGTTGTTGTACCCTGGAGTACGGCGTATACACGGGGTGTACAGAGTCTACCCGTTTTATGAGTCTGATCTACTGAACAAGGCGAGTGAATTCAAGTCATATGCACATGAAATCAATCATGCATCAAATCAACTATATTCCAAGGGGAAACAAGTTTATTTTAAACCTCGGCAGGTTTTTCTTTTTCGTTTTGGTTTGCAGAAACTTTTTCAAAAAAACAAGACTTAAAGTCCCCCTGTAGTCAATCATTGTATCTCTTAAAACACATCTTTGATGAAGAAAATGACGTATTTAAGCATTTTTTCCTTGAAAAAACCCCGCCATGCCTTAAAATAGCTTGAATGTAACTCTACAGCCTCGCCTCATTTAGTATACGTGGTTCTTTGAATATGCAAATGAGCCCCACCTCCACTCACTCACTCCAGCTCAGAGATCCACTCGTTGACGATCACACGTTGATCTGATTGGTTACAAGGTAGTGTGTGACGTCAGAAACACCAGCAAATTCAAACCGTGTGTTTGAGGCTGTCTTTGGTTCACTGCAGTTTTAAGGAGAAAATACTCAGCAATGGTGTCGAATTATGAATTTGCACATGGTTTGTCTTAAAGCATATTAAAAACACCACATAGACTTATAAACGACATTAAAAGCTTGATTTTCACCACAGGGGGAATTTAATATCTTAAGTAATTTTGCTTATTATGTAAATGGCTCTTGATTTAAACATGTTTAGATATTTGTAATGAAAAACAAGACAAAACTACTGAGTAAGAAAATCATGTTTTGCAGTGATGAAGCTGCATCTTAAAGTTGCTTGGTGCTTAAAGTTGCATTAAACTAGTTTTAAATTAGTATAAGTTTTACACCCAAACATTAATGGTACTTTTGACCAATACTTTTAAAAGGTCCACTTGATATGGTAACAAAAAGCTTCTGATGCTGTGTCCATATCAGTAGACGCCATTATAAAGTCAGTGACCACTTTTGAATCAACCAGCGAAACATCTAAAAAATACTAAGTGCATATTAATTTAAGAATGATTCTTTGACAGTGAATCTTTTTTTTATGTGCTGTTCCAGACTCAGAGGACCTACAGCGTTCTGAAGGAGCTCAGCAGAGCACCGCCGGCACCGGGCCGAACTCGAGACAATTCCTCCGTCGACTCCTTAAGGGCGTTTCAGAGTAAAACCTTGGACAACCAGAGAGGAAACAAAGAGGTTCCCAAAAAGGTTTAGAGAATCAGATATTATTAATATATCAATACCTTGTCCTTTAGGTGTTTGAAATTTCACAGCCTCAAAAGTCAGAGATTTCAATACGAGCTCAAATGTTTCTCATCAAATTCTAACCTAAGCTGCTATCCACATTCATTTACAGCTCAATACTCTTTCTAGTCGACAACTATTTGAGTTTATTTTGAGTTCTCCCGAGAAATTGTAGGAGAAACATCTGAGACAAAGATGCTACTTGACAGAACACAACATTAAGTCACTTTTGAGCCATGAAAAGCGACTTCAGAGCGGTACAATGTTCCTCAAAGTCACAGCTGCTTTCAAATGTCACGCACACAAAGCATACGTTTCACCCAAACGAGACGTCATAGAGTTGTTTGGAGCAGATGCCATCTCTTCCCCTTTCCGTACGGCATTGGGGCTCGTTTTGATACCCCCCCCCCCCTAATTAAATCCGGATCTGTGGCCGAGGCACGCTTCCCAAACCTATTAGCTGTAATAGCAGCAGATTGCCGGCCTCGTCGCGGTTGCGGTGAATCATCTCCTTTGCTCATCTCCCCCTCTCTGACGCCCCGCAGCAGACGGAGACAGGCGAGGAACACACACCCGCTCCACCGACCGAGCATCTGCCCGACAAATACCAGCCGCTGAAACAACACACACAAACACACACACCTGTGATCATATTCACAGAAGACATGTCATTACTCAGAGGTCTCTTTCATGGCTCAATGACGTTTAATCCAGATCTCAGATGCGTTTCGTTTAACCACCAACTATTAAAATGTCGACGGAGAAACAAGTGAGACAATGGTATATGACTGTAGAGTTATTAAATGAATATATTCACTTATTTGTGATCAATTTATGTATTCTTGCTGGATAAACGTATTAATTTCATTACTGTTCATTCGAACAGTAGTGTACATCACATTGCGCAAGTGAAATAGTTTTTGAATGCCGTTTCATGTTTATTTTAATACAAAACGTTTAGAATAAGTTTAGATCGTAAGTAATGGGACTACTTTGGAAAGAATAATGATTTCCTCTTTCTATAGCCAGATTCCCAGGGGAAATCTGCTCAGTCTGAAAGTGTGACTGGACTGGAGCCACCGGTGAACACGGAGGGACAGGTCAGTTCATATGTCACGTATGCATCCAAATGAAGCAGTTAAATATGAAAAATAGTCTTGGGAAGGTGTGATCTTCACTTTTGTTATTGTCTCAGATGTATGCCGATTCAAGATCGTACATCATCATTGAAATTGCTATGGAAAAGCCGCTGGTTCCAAAGAGACCACCGGAGGAGCTGGCCAAACGGTAATAGGAAAGAGTTTCTTTCGAATTCAAAGCCTTGTTTTGTCTTCAAAATGTGTTTAGAGAGTGATTCATATTCATTGATTCTGTCTGATACAGTGTGGAGGAGTTGGTTCCTCCCAGACCTCCTCTGCCTCGACGGCCAGCGGGAGCAGAAAGGGTAAAAAAAACAGCATTTTTTCCTGTTTTATCACTATTTCTGTCTGATATTTTCCTCTCACAGTCAGATCTATGGGAAGTTGTTTGTCTATAACAGTTTACACTATCATGGCAAAAGAGAATGGCTGAAACTTGCTATGAAATGCCTGGATCATATTTCAGAAATACATATTTTTCACTTTGTAACAATATTTTCATGACAATCAAGCACTTTGTGCCCTGCATTCAAATGTATGAGTTGCATTATTAAACAATAAAGCGCTTGCAGTCGTGCAGCTGTTCTGAATATGTACAAATAAATCAGCGAATCGGTATTCGAACGAATCGGTTGAGTGATTCAATGACTCGCTCATTCAGACAGTTCTTTTTAGGTGTGTTTGACTCGAAGTGGCGCAGACTGATCAGTGTACGTATTTGAGAGCCGTCAGCTCTGGTCATGTCATACACCGATCAGTCAAACACACCTGTTTTCTTCCTGAATGAATCAGCGTGTTTGAGTGAATCATTTGATTCAGTGTCTCGGTACTTGTATAGTTCCTGTGCTTTTGAACGAATCGGTTGAATGAATGAATCAGTGGCTCGCTCATTTACCACCACCTACTGACGTAAAAGTCATTTTTTATTAAGATTTTGGCTTTAAAATATAACCGATTTTTCATAAGAGTCATCCAAATAGCTAATAAATCATATGATTAATAATAAATGTGCATGATATTATCAGGCAGTACAGGAATACCAGTCTCAGATAGCGAGTGTGGCCGCCCAGGTGTTAGATCAGTACCAGCAGCTGTTCGGGACCGCGTTTGTGCCTGGAGGGAAGCCTCTGGACCCCGTCCTGCAGGAACAGCGCAAAACCCAACTGCTCGGAGAACTCAACTGCTCTGGGAAATACTTCGCCTTCAAGGAACAGATGAAGGTGAATTTTAATCATGTTAGATGTGTCATTTTGAATTTACTCCATTTAATGTTATTCAAGGTTTCTTGCAACAAAAATGTTATAATTTAGTGTTTATTAACCATTTCCTCCTTCTTTCCTTTAGATTTTAAGCTGGCTGTTTTCAGTGTTATGTTAATGTAATATATACTATTACACTATAGCATTTAATATACAGTATATATATATATATATATATATTATAGCTTTTATTTTGATATTTTCAGTTTTAATTCATTTTATTTCATTTTATTAATTTTGTTATGTGCTTTCATCATTTGTATAAGTTTTTTTATTTATAATTAAAATTAAAATACATTTAAACAAATTTCTATTTCGCTTTAATTTAATTTTATATTTATATTTATATTCAAATCACCTTCATTTTCAGTTAATGAAAACAATGCTAAATAGTTTTAGTTTTAGTACTGTTTTACTGTAAAACCATTTAATTAATTTCATTTAATTTCAGTTATTCTTTATGTGCTTTTTTAATGCTCATTCATGTTTTAAATATTTCTGTTTAGCTTTAATTTATTTTTACCTCAAGGCAACATTTCTAATTTTCATTTATTAATTTTTTTAATTAATTTTTTCATCTAATATTTATATTTCATTTTACTTCAATTAACGACAATAGTTTCCAATAGAATTAGTTTGAATTAAAAATAACAACACGTGAGTGTTTTGGACTTCTACATGTAAACTACCCTTGTTATGATTCATACTGTTGTTTATCAGGGCAGACTGATTAGCATATATGTTAATGAGCTCCTGGTGTTTGTTGTATGTGACAGTACTCTGTGGTCCGGATCGTAAGAGAGAAGATGTTGAGGACAGAGGCCTTCTCAGACCCTGAACAGCTCCAAGCGTTCCTCAGTCAGCTCTACGTGTTCCTGGTGGACGAGATGCATGCTGCTCTCAATAAGGTGAGGCCTCAAAACATACATTTGTGTATATACATATACAAATATACATATCTGTTAAGGGAAGCATCACTCATGCTGAGAGTTACTGATCTGAACATTGAACATTGGTGCTTCAGGGTCTGTTTTATCAGTTGTGTTTCCATGCACTCCATTGAATCAGAGCCTGTCAGTGGACTCTCAGGACACGCATCATGAGCCTCTGCTGAGCTGCGCTCAACTCAAACACTTCGCCAGAGAGGCTCAACTCAACACGGACTACCAGCTGGCAGAACAGTACTATCAGGAGGTGAAGCATTACAGCACTTTTGATGCTTCAAAATAACAAAGTATTATACTATATCTATCATCATAATACTATACACAGCATGTTTTTTTTTTTTACAGTAGTTTATATTATAGTGTAAAGCAGTATTATTTTAGTTTCATTGAAATACTATTATTGTCAGGTTTATGTTTTGTTTTCACTGACTTTTAGGAGCCGTTTTACACAACACCGTTTTCAACGGAAAAAAAAACGGAAAACTGCAAAATGGGCCTGAAAATGCAAACTTTTGAAAACAGGTTTCAAAGTGCAAGTTTTTGAAAACTATAGGCTACCGTTATCATCTCCATGTAAACCACAAAACCGTAAATTTGTGAACACAGTGACATCATACGAATGTGAATTACGTATTCAGACTATAGGTGCGTAGTGTTTCTTTACAAAGTGACATCGAATACTGAAAATCGTTCATTTTCAAAAGATCAAATGGGCTTTGGAAGCATTTATGTACGAATGCATTGCAAATCTGGAATCTGAGCGCACAATACACAATAAAACCATTATTACAGTGTATACTGTATAGTAAATGCAGCTTTTTACAGTAGTTTAGGATGCAGTGTGAACTACATAATGGTTTTATACCTAACCAGTAAACAACATGTCCGGTCATATTTCACCCACAAATTAAAAGAAAGCAAAAATTGCATATGTTATCTGTATCTATATGTGTTCTTTATGTTTCGCTGTCATTTCATTGTAAAGCGACCTTGAGTTTGCAGAAAGGATCTATATAAAATAATACACGATGGTGTTCTTTTTTGTACTGTCTGTATTATACTGGTTTAAAAAAAAAACATTGTCTTACAGTAATGAGAATGAGATTAACCATTGAGAATGAGTTGACAACAAACCCTGCTAAGTGAAACCCCTTGATGTTAATGTAATGCAAGGAAAAGATCAATCTGGCATTTCAAGCATGAACGCACTGTATTTTGTGAAAAATGTAGCACAATAATTATGGCATCTCATGCATACACAATGAACTCCTTCTAATGACAGTGTGCTATTTCAAATAGAGCTTTAGCAATCATTTGTGATATGACAGTATCATTGGATGTGACTCATGTCTCTCTGAATTTGCCTCTGTAGTGTTTGATTCGAGACCGCAGTGACCCGTCCCACTGGTTTGATTATGGAGCGTTCCACATGCTGACCGCCGACCACTTGAAGGCCGAGGAGTGCTTTCAGCAGGCCTTATCCATTGAGCAAACACACATACCCAGGTTAGCAGGCAGAAATGACTCAGAATAGGTTTCTAAAAACTCTTTCCTGACTTCTTCTGTGGTGTTTGGTGCAGTTTGCTCATGTGCGGCGTTCTGTCTGACATGAATGGACGCTATGAGGATGCAGAGACCTTCTTTGAAAGGGCGACGAGTGTGGAGCCGAACAATGTGGTCGCATGGACTTTATTTGGTGAGAACAGAATTAAACAGCACATACACTACTGTTTAAAAGTTTGGGGTTAGAAAGGTGAAGGAATTAGTACTTTTATTGAACAAGAATGCATTCAATTGATCAAAAGTGAAAGTAAAGACATGTTTAATGTTACAAAAGATTTATAGTTCCAAAAAAGGCTGTGCTTTTGAACTTTCTGTTCAACAACGAAAAAGTATATCACAGTTTCCACAAAAATATGAAGCTGTACAACTGTTTTCAACATTGATAATCATCAGAAATATTTTTTTGAGCATAAAATCATCATATCAGAATGATTTCTGAAGGATCATGTGACACTGAAGACTGGAGTAATGATGCTGAAAATTCAGCTTTGATCACAGGAATAAATTCCGAACATTTTAACATATTAAAATAGAAAACAGCTATTTTGAACAGTAAAAATATTTCACAATATTACTGTTTTTATTGTATTTTTTTATCAAATTAATGCACATTAAAAAGACCTACACATTAAAAATCGAACCTACCCCAGCTTTTGAACGGTAGTGTTTTCTTTTTAATATTCTGTCATATCATAATCATTCATTTGAGTTTATTTTGCAACATTATGTAGTTAGTGTGCACAATACCGGTAATTTTGAAGAAATAATGAAAATGTGTGTCAAATTGTTGTCAGGTGTGTTCTGCCAGGCTCAGGAGAAGTTCATCCAGGCAGAAATGACTTTTCGGGAGGCCAATAAGCATTTTATTTCAGTCATGAAAAATGACCGGACATCTAGAGCAAAAATAACCTCAGAGACTCAGTCTGGTCAGGAGGAGGAGCAGAAAGATGAAACGAGCGAGACAGGTGACCACCTCATTTCTGTCTGCTCTGTGACAAATGCCCTTTCATTTATAGCTCATATGGGATCATTTGCTTTAAAGGTGGCGCTGGCGCTGTGCACGAAGAGGACATCCCACAGAACTGCCAGGAGAGAAAACAGGAAGTACAACAGCAAACCACTATCTTCATGGAGACGGTGTGGTTTCTCCTGCAGAACTATGCATTACAGGTCAGCGGAAGGTCACGTCAGTAGATCCTGTGCACATCAGTCTCAGATTACTCACTTTTACATTAAAGGAGCCTTTACTCCCAAAGTCCATTTATAATGTCCGTCAAAGTTTCTTTCACCAGAAACAGTTAAAAAAAATGAACACTTAAGGCTGTTTTGCTGCTGTCTTTAAGTTTTTTAATGTCTTTTTTTTAAGTCTCATGCTCACCAAGGCTGCATTTATTTGATCAAAGATACAGTAAAATTGTGAAATATGATTACCATTGAAAATAAAGATTTTCTATTGTAATATATTTTAAAACGTAATTTCTGTGATCAAAGCTGAATTTTCAGCATCATTACTCCAGTCTTCAGTGTCACATGATCCTTCAGAAATCATCCTAATATGATGATTTGATGCTCAAGATTTTTTTATTTTATCAATGCTGAAAACAGTTTTTCATATTTTTGTGGAAACTGCGATAAAAAAAATTCAGGATTCTTTGATGAATAGAAAGTTTAAAAGAACAGCATTTTTTAAAAGAGAAGCATTTCATGTTAACATTTGTAACATTATAATTGTCTTTACTGTCACTTTTGATCAATTTAATGCATCCTTTGCTGAATAAAAGTATTACTTTCTTTAAAAAAAAAATCTTACTGACCCCAAACTTTTGAACAATAAATGTTTTATGAACACTCTGTACGTTATGATCGATTAACTTCACGTTGTCTCAGGACAGAGTTGCAGAATGAGGGCGGTCGTATGCCACTTTTTTCTGATTTGTCCATTTTTTGCAGTTTAGATTCAAAATGTGGACTGAAGATGAGCTTTGAGTTTTGAATTTCTACATAGTACAGCAAGAACGAAGCACATTTGCATGTGTATGTTAACAGTTAATGCTGAATTGTGTTCATCCAGATGTCCCAGCGGACTCTGGCTCTAGAGCTGCTGTCTCCGGACAGAGGAACCGTCAGCTCGTATCATCTGGCTCTGGCCCGGCTTCATTTGCTGAGAGGAGAACACGACAGCGCTGAGGCCAGCCTGAAGGAGGCGCTGATCGACAACTTCCAGGTCTGCACAGTTCATTCCCTGTACTGGGTTCTGATAGTGATGGGAGAAATGTAGCCTCTAGAAACTTTGAATCAGTTGAACCAACTGTTCAAAAGCGATTCACTGTTTGGAAGCGCTTGAAACACCACGCGCTGGTGACCCCTGCTGGTCAAAATGGTATAAATGCAACAGAAACACAGCCCAAACATGCATGGAAATTATTTCACATATATATTATACAAATGTGTCATTAAAAATGTTTACAAATTTATTCAACTTTTTGTTCCAAAACTGTCAACACGACACGAAGCCTCGTTTTCTGGAATCACGTGACTTTGGCAGTTTAGGTGCGTTCATGTCGTAATTAGCATAATTACAAGATTTCAACTTGTGAAAACTTGTAAAAAGCGTTCACATCCTCGTAGAGCTCGTAATTACAACTTGTAAGCTGAGAAAACCTCCTACTTGTACCACCTGGCGACATAGCATTTCAACACCGCACTTGATACACGCTCTAAATCACTGCTTCAAAACAAATGATTCGTGTTTTGAAAGCCCCCATCACTCGGTTTTTAGATGCACCTGGGATTCATCACTTTCTCTTGGTATTTGATCCCGGCAGAACCCAGACACGTGGGCCCTGTGGGGTCACTTGCATCACGCGAGGGCCGATTACGCTCAGGCTCAGAGCTGCTATGAGCGGACGCTGGATTCTGTGCTGGACGCTTCAGACACACACTCCGTACACCTCCGTCTGGGCTCCATCTACCTGCAGGAAGGAGAAGTGAGTTCCGATTAACCCTTTAATCACTCTTATGAGTTATTTTCACTTGTTATCATGTGTGTTTCATTCCCTCTTTAGTATGAAAAAGCCAAAGCTGTGTTCCTGCGCGTCTGCAAACGCTCTCCGTCATGCCTTACTTGGCTCAGGCTGGGAATCGCCTGCTATAGAGTGAGTATATATACCCATAAGGCATTTAGAAAATCCGTCTGTGTCTGTAGCATGCCAGTGTAAGCAGAAGAGCTTCGCTGGAGCCACAATTGAAGGAAGGTTTGTGATTGGTTGAGGATTTTGACATTATCTAATCACAGATCATGTCACTGTAAGCAATCAACATGAAGTCAAAATTGGTCACTTTCTTAATATATATTCCTAAGAAACATGGTGGTGGGAAAAAATATGAGACAATTAGATGAGATTTATATTTATATACTAGATTTATATATAAATCTCGTCTAATTGTTCAATAAACTGTTCCATTTTTTAAAAAAAAAGGAAGATTTTTCTGACTATTATCTCATATGTCAGGCTTTACAGGGTTAAGGGTCAAAAAGTAAGATGAAATTCTGATAGCTTGTAATATAAATCAATGAGATCTTTATAGCAGTCTAGCAGATACTTAACATAAAATGCATATATAAAAAAAAGCTCTGCAGTTTTTAAACATATAATGCAATTCAATACAAGGAGGATTAACAGATGAACAAATAAGCATTTCTCAAAAGCCTAATGGATCATATTTTCATTCGCAATTAAATATGATTTTTCCACAAATGATGTATGGATAATCAAGTAAACCTAAGTTGCTTCAGTCCAGTAAATGTTCATCTTGAAATATTACTAACAATAACAGTTATTCTTAGGTTTACTTGATAAAAATCAGTAAAGATGTCACAGCATGGATGTTTTTACAATTACACTAATAAAAGGCTACTTTCTCTAAGTATCAAGTATCAATCAGATGATAGATGGCATGGAGTAGTTTGTGTTTTGCTGTATCTTCAGCTGGAGGAGCTGAGTGAGGCTGAAGAGGCGCTGACTGAAGCCAACGCACTGAATAACAGGAATCCAGAGGTGTGGGCTTACCTGTGTCTGGTCTGTTTACAGGTGAGGGACTACTCTTTCTTTCATTCATTCATTCCCTCACGTGAAATTGTAGGACGTAGAGAGCAAAGCAACAGAAGATGCATGTATTCTTGCATTTTTTGGACTTTAGATTTGACTTTAGTTGCTTTGTCTTTCCAGACTGGCCGAAAACTAGAGGCAGAGCAGTCGTATAAATACGCCATGAAGGTTTGTATTGTCTAATGTTGATGTGTTTGTGAATATTAAAGTCTTTGGTATCGAAATATGTTTCATTTTTGCCCTCTTTTATGTTTGGTTTCACAGATGAATTTACAAAAAGAGTCACTTCTACAGGAGATCCACGACCTGCAGTCACGCGTTGGGTTCGGAAACCCTTCCTTCTGATGTGCCTTAGCCACAGAAATGAAATTTTAAACCTTATAAAGGTTAATTACTTAATCCTAATATAAAAACGTGTATATGATAATAAAATATGACTTTTAACATAATCTACTGTAGTCTTTCTTGTGCATCGGGGGATCTTGGTTATATTTGCTACACAAGGCCCGTTCACACCAAGGACAGCAATAAATGTTCTATGTGAATAAGTCTACAGCACAACAATGACAACACTGATGAACGATATCGTTGGAATGACTTTCAGAACGATTTTTTCCTAGATGAGGCATGATAAAAACATTGATAGCTTATCAGAATCCACCCGACTTTATAGAGTTTGAGCTTTTAAAGCAGCAGACAACAGAACTGCAGCGCGTGGTTAGCTGTATAGTTAGCTATGATAAACACAACATTATCAACCTAATATAGTTGTTATAGTTAGGGGCGTCGCTAAGGGGGTAAAAGTTAGGATGATTCTAAGGGCCCATGCACTGTTGGGGCCCCCAGAGATCGATTGTATTAATGGAATGAGTGCAGTATACCAACCTCATATTCTTTCATAGGGCCCAAAATTGCTAGCGGTGCCCCTGGCTATGATACATGGCTCACGAATACTGTTAATATCATGAAACAGCAATTGTAAATAGACTTTGGCGCTCTTCACCGAGCGCTTACACAGGTACGCACAGGAGCGTTGGAAAGCAGCTGCCTATCAGCGGATCTCTAATATATCCGCTGACAGAAGAATCCGCTATAGACGCCTGCTTTCAAACGCTCCTGTGTGTATCTATGTAAGCGCTCGGGGAAGAGTGTCAAAGATGTCTATTTACAACATGCTTGACCCATCAATGGTGTAAAAGCCGAAGTGCGTCCAGACTTTGAACTTAAACATGGCTGGGGCATCTATTATTGTACTCGCACTGATTTCCACCATCCCGTTAAAAGCCTCTTTTTCTTAGGCTAGTTAACTTATGTCCACGTTTCACGTTTACATGTTGAGCGCCACCTCGAGGACCCATGAAGTAGCGACGCTGGGAGCAGGGAAATCTATTTAGAGCGCCTTATTTTAATAATAAAAATATCGCTATTTGACGCCAGCGTATCGATTATCGTATCGCACGGAGCATCAAGGCGTTCCTCCTAAACTTACAGCTCCTCTGGGTAGACCCATGCAGGAAGTCTAAGTTATTTGCCTCCAGGAGCACCTGAGGGGCCTGACAGAGCCCACCAGTCCTACTCTCCATCGTCGTCCTCCTCAGTTTCCTCCATGCTGCCGCTCCCTGCCCTCAGCTCAGGGACCAAAATGAGCGGCTTCAGTAGCGCTCAGTTTCAGACTCTTACTCTAGCTCTTCTTCAAAAGAAGGGTCCCGTAGCAAAAGAAATGCTGATGACAGGGGTCGTCATGGAGAATTTCATTATCGTCATGGTGACAGACAAGTCGGGAGAGATAGTGACCGAGATCACTGTGCTGCTTCACAAACTATTTGTGAACTTAACTATATTTTCTTTAACATTCTCCAGCATGTTTTAATGTGTGCTATGTCATGTTTCAAACACCAACATTTTTTTAAGTTCTTAATGTCTAATGAGCTTAACTTTTGTATTTTAAAATAAATTGTTTTAGTAGACTGTTCAGATTATAGTCTTTCAGTGCTGACCAGCGTATAGTATAGGCCTAGTTCAAGAAAAAATGAAGTCTACAATGAATCCACAAACACTCTGATCAACCTAAACATAACAGTTGCAATGGGGAGAAAACATATCAGTGAATCTATAATCAAATAATGTTATGATCCTGCATTCCTTTGGTTCTGAACTAAATTTCTCCATTTCAGACCCCCGTGAAGATTGCTGTTGATGTGAGGGAAGAACGTTTGTTATAATCTAAACCTGAAACATACTAAACTTTATTATTCTGGATACTCTAGTGTGCAATTCTGTCTGTGGCCATGTTTCTGAATTAATAAAAAAAGGAAGAAACAAAAAGACTTGAGGTTATTTGTGTTCCAGAGAATTGATCCTTTCATTTTGTTATTTAAAACAAGCAATCATTTAGCTACTAATAACATGCCCTTATATGTAAATTCATTTTATTCTGCGTAGTAAAGAATCAATGACTTTCACCTGTGACATATTGATTGAGTAAATTGGCAGGTCTAGAGAAAAATGATGCTTGTCACAAGAGAGGTGGAGCCATTCTGATTTACATCTGCATAAATTTGGATGGTTGCACCCTAATGTGTCATTGAAACAAGCTTGGCAATAATGGGGTTTTGGCAGGTTGGATTCGGATTGGTGTTTATTCTTGCACTTGGATTTTCTGAAGCACAATGGAGAGCAAGAGCAGCACATAATCGGAGTCCAAGCGAGTTTAGGCCTAGAACATTAGCTCAAGCTTCTCAACAGGCTGATTCCAGGATGTCTTTGGTTCCCAGTAACACTGCATTTGCACCACAAAGTTTTCCCGCTCCGTTTCCTGTCCAGACACCAGTCAGGACTGACTTTGGAAAGTCTTCTCAAGATCTTATGGGTGTTCAATTAAAAGAGCTGTTGCAGGGTCCAGTGGCGACACTGACGTGGAGCTTTCCAAGTCTACCAGAGGAACCACAGCAGCCAGACGTTCCTTTTGAGTTGCCTTATCCTGTCCCTGCCAACAGTGTAGCTGCTCAGTGTGGAGAGAATTCAGTATATGTGGAAGTGATGAAGGACTTCTTTGGGACTGGGCACCCACTGTTGTCCTCTGGTTTTACACTGGGAGGCTGTACTGCAACTGGAGAGGATTCTTCTGCTCAAGTGCTGATCTTTGAGTCTGAACTGCATGGATGTAGCGGCACATCAATGGTAAGGTTCTGTTGTGACAATCATAGGTATTCTGAACCGTCCATGTGACTGTTCTTCTATTAACCTTTCTGTTTAGGTGACTGAGGATGAGCTTGTCTATAGGTTCAACATTATGTACACCCCACAAGAGGCTTCATATGGTGTTCCTATTGTCAGGAGCAGTGGTGCGGTGGTTGGTATCGAGTGTCATTATCCAAGGTGAGGATTCAATTAATTCAGGCTCACCCAATGTTCTAATCCTGCCGTTTATGGGCAAGAGATGACCGCTTGTTTAACTCCTACAGAACACATAATGTGAGCAGCGATGCCTTAATGCCCACTTGGATCCCATATGCCTCAACTGAGGTTGCAGAGGACGTGTTCGTCTTCTCCCTCAAGCTCATGACTGGTTGGTGTAGCCCATACAGATTTGTAGAATGCTTGTGAATCATCTGTTAAGATAATAATAATAATAATTATTATTATTTAATTTTTTTTCAGATGACTGGAGATTTGAGAGACCTTCTAACCAGTACTTCCTGGGTGACATGATAAATCTTGAAGCATCAGTGCGTTTGTACAGCCATGTTCCCATCCGTGTGTTTGTGGACAGCTGCGTGGCTACTGCAGTCCCTGATGTTGCTTCTGTCCCCAGATACTCCTTTATTGAGAATAATGGGTAAGAGGTGCTACCTCATGTATCCCAGCTTCCATAAGGGTTGTGTGATTTCTAACTGGGTTCTGTTCACAGGTGCCTGGTTGATGCCAAGCTCACAGGCTCCACATCTCACTTTATGCCCCGGACTCAAGGTGATAAGCTAGATTTTCAGCTAGAGGCGTTCCGGTTCCAGCAAGCAGACAGTGGGCTGGTATGCATGTCCTGCAGTGTTGTGCTAGTTACTAAGAAATAGTAACTAGTTACTAGTTACTTCATTCAAAAAGTAACTCAATTACTTTGTTGATTACTTACACCAAAAAGTAATGCGTTACTGTTAAAAGTAACTTTTTAGTTACTTTTTTAAAGAAAGTTCTTAAATGTTCCCATTAATGCCCTTTTATGCGTTATGGTCTATACAAACACAAAACTGACTTAAACAGAAAGTAATTTTTAAACACTATTTTATTTAAGTCAGACCAGCACAAACTGAATATATCAAGGATTTCTGAAATAAATAACAAAACAAGCATTTTTAAAGCTAGTGACTTGTTTGCTTTCTCAACATTGATATTTTCATGCAGCTGACAGTATACGTTTTTACCACTGTGGTTTTTACTGCATGAATTAATATTTGAGCAATACAATTGTACCTTGATCATTCTTGTTAATTCATAGTAGGCCTACATTAACTAAGGAGATACAAATACATCTAACAATGAATGATACTTCTACAACATTTATTAACCATATTTAATGCTAAAATTGTAATCTTATTGTAAAGTGACATTTATATGATTCAAGCTTAAAGAAGATGGCCATATTTAAATATCTGCAAAGGCCAGAGCATTAAAATTACATAAATGTAGACCTATATTACATGTACAGTCTTTCACTTTATTTGCTTAAATTTTAGAACACTTGATTAGACTTGATGTCGGCTGCATGGACATATCAATGTAAGCAATCAATCACGTCACTAGTTTTTAAAATACAACTTCGCCGGCTAATGAATGCATAAAAGTGACCAGCTGGATATAAACTAATGCAAATAGATGGTAACAATTGCGACATAAAACATGTGGGTCAGGTCTGCGTGTGTTTTTGTCACATTGCTTTAATCGCTTGAGGTAAGTTAGCCGTTACTAATGTTATTCCTCTCAGACTCGACGGCAAGCTTCTGTTCTTTCTCTGCTGAATGTGCTGATGCAGCATCTAGTCAAAAAAATAATTACTTTATAATGATATGGCAATGTGTACTTAAGTGTTCTGTATTCATACCGTTTCGCTGTCTGTGTTTTAAATGCGCATCAAGTGCTCAGCGCTCTCCGTGCAGCTTGTAATCTCCGTGCTCGCGCTGCCTCACGTGTACGTAAACAACTCAGCCAGTGAGTTTGTTATGTGTCCTCTCGCTCTGTATAATGCTAGCAGTCTCTTCAGTGCTCTCGTACTGTGTAATGACAGCGCACACTTCTCAGCCGCTCCAGCAACTAATTAATTTAAAAAAGTAACGGACAACGCGCCATATGGTAACGGTAACGGAGTTAATTTATTTAAAAAGTAATGCGTTACAGTATTAGTTACTGTCAAAAGTAACTGCGTTACTGTAATGCGTTACTAGTAACGCGTTACTGC